TGGTAGATACACACAATTTCATAATATTGGGGGCTCTATTTAGCCAATAGAAAAAATATACCATTAAAATAATATAATATCATTATAATATATAAATTATACTATAATTTGTCATCTTTCTCATCTGACCGAATAATTGATATAATATAATATTAAGATATACAAATAATTGATATATTAACACATATGAACGAAAAAGTTCTTTACATAATATTATGAATTTCTGAGCAAATACAAAAGTTAAAAACATATGAAAGAACAATATAAAATAAAAAATATATATATTAAATTTGACAAATGATATTAAAAATTACTAAGTTGTAACACGTACTAATAAATATTAAAAAATAATAAATAAATATGTTATGATTAGTAAAAGTAAATATAAACCTTTTAAAACTTCTATTATCAATGTAAACGAGCAGGGTTAATAAATGTTTGTTAATTTTTATACTTATTTATTCTATGTGTAAGTTTTAGGTGATATACAATAGTTATTTTTACCTTTATCCATGTAGGTTAGAAAAAAAAGTATACTATCAAAATAACATAGTGCCATTACAATTTTTAAATTATACTTTACATAATTTGTCATGTTTCTCACTTGTAATACATTCTAACACATCAGTATAGTCGCAATAAGTTAAAAAATATTTAATAAAAAAAGGACGATTTTTCTCAATTCAACATAAGAAAATCATTGAAATGTTTTTTTTTACAAAATTATAAACAAAAAATCTATGTTGTAGTATAGCTGACTCGGCATTACAATTGATGAATTTATAAATTATGAATATATAACTATAATTCCCCTTGCATTAGTTCAAAAGACATAAAAAATATATTTTGAAGATATAGAAAAAAGCATGTTGCAAAAGAGAGATTTGAAACTATCATCAATATGGTTCATTTACATTTAATTGAATTCAAAAAGGCCTTTTAAAATAGGAATAGAAAAGTCCATATCATATATCAGATAAAAAATTTGAAAACTTGGCATGAACTAGCGAATCATTATGGTATTATATCGCAGTGATGCAATTATTCATGATAATAACAGGTGTAGATAATCTCAGTATATAAATGAATAAACTGGTCTCAACTGCTGGGACGTAATTTTGAGATTTATTATATTTTCTTTAGTTGTAATGCCGCGTTTATGTTATAACATTAATAAAGTTATGAGTTGAATTAAATTATAATTGGTTGAGTTGTAAATTAATTCATTATGTATCTTTATTTCCTTATTTTAATTTCATTTTTAAAATAGGGAACATGATAAAAATCATGAAAAAATGTTCCCACAATTTTTATTAGATTCCTTATGCTATATGCTTTTGGATGGAGGGATGTGCCGGACCTTTAAAGAAACATAGATATGCTCATGATTCCAATTTTTTTTTTCTAGAATTATATTGAAAAATTCAAACGGGAGTAATAACATTGAAATATTCGTTAGAATTTTCAATGAATTCCCTTGTAGTATATTTAATTGAAATTTTCGTTGAATTTTCTCATTTTCTTGTAGTAAAGGTAGGGCTCCAAATCAATAAGAAAAATTTGCATTCTATATAATATCGTGTACAACTAATTATTATGAAAGTTGTTGATAATGATAGAAAATATAACACATTCAATCTAATTATCATTTAATTTATGGTAATTAATAAACTATTTCAAAACAAACAAGATACATCTAGGTCAAAAAGTCTTTAGTTATTTTATTAGTAATATAATAACTAAACAAGGGGTAAGAATGATGAGAAAACTTATAGCTCGCATTAAATCTGAAAGTATAAGAAAAAAAAGTGATAAAATTAATTAATGTCCTATATCAATTGGAGCTAGGTAATGAGAAACATCAAACATACTTAATATGCACATTTATTTTAACTTGAACTTTTAAGTTCATAAAAAATATTAGCATTAAAATTCACTGTGTTAGTTTTAAATTTTTTTATTTAAATATTTAATTACTTTCTACCATTAATTTTTCAATTTTAAAATACTTATTATTTTATCATTTGTTACCCTTTTATATATAATATATCACACCATTTCTTTCCAATGATGTGTATCGATTATCAACACGAATTAAAAATAATAAATAGACCTAAAAGTATCTTATAAAATAAATTATACATCCATGTTACATAAATTCATTAAGTATTAAATAACATAATATAAAATTGTGGCATATTTTTTTTACATAGATCCGAAGAGAAAACAAACAATGGATGTAAACATACAACTATCACCAATATTAACCATGTTAATTAAAAGGAGAAATAAACGAGTTGTATGTTATATTATTATTCAACTAACACATAAATTTAATGAGTATGAAAATGAGTTAGTTTCTTAATATTTTCTCAAACATTGAGAAAAAATTCTAAACCAATTAATCTATTAATCAGTATAAAACTACATTTTTTATCAAATATATTATTATTATAAATAAATAAATAAATAAGTAATATTAAATTTTATTTTATCTTATGTGATTACATTAGTTGTTGCCTAATAAATATGATATTTTGATAACAACGTCATTATATGAAACACGTACAAAAAATGATGCAATACATATAAATGTGCTATAATTCTTTTAATAAATAAAGTATTACTTATCAATATTATAAAAAACTAATAAAGTAATAGTAATACAATTGAAAAAAAGAAAACGTCTGAATTTTCTTAGACAAGTATGAATACCAATATTTAGAAACAAAAAGTCTTTTAAAGATAATATTTTTTTTGCTGCTAGCATTTAAATATATGGACTCTGTAAGAAATTGGATATCATAAATAAATGATCCTATAATATCAATTTTTAACTTTAAATAATTAAAAATTTAAAACTATATAATACATATAGTAGATTTTAATAATGATTTCGTTATAATAAAGTTCAAAGATGACTATGAGTCATAAAATAAAATTCCAATTTTTCTCATTTTTTTAACAAATGATATGCTTCTCAATTTGTCTCATTGTTTTGTTTTGATTGGTTTTGTCATTGGTGAAGAATCAAAAAATGATCTTTATCTTGAGTTTTATGAGCATTATGTATGATGCATAAAGTTGGACGATAAAAGCATTAAAAGGTTATTGGACACATAAATGTTACAAATCCAAACAAATGTGAAAGATATTAAAATAAATAATTCTAAAATCATTGCAAGAACTAGGTGGTCAATGATTTATAAACAATATATTATATAGTTCGTCTATCTTTCAAATAAATAACATTGAAAATGAAACGTTGGAGCCTGATCAAAACATTTTTGAATGTTTGAATAAAGTTGACACTTCTTATAGGAATATTTATAATTTCATTGGTGTATTGTGTTTGAACATATGTACAATTATTTTAGAGTATGTACTTTTAGGTAATATGTGATGATTTCAAAAACTAATCTCGGGAAAATTACATATAATAGAGATTTTGAAAAGTCAACTTTTATTTCGAGATGAAATTCATTCCCCCTGTAGGGCGATGCATCCATGGGTAGGTATCAATTTGTCTATATATATAGAGAGAGTAATATAGTAGTTTATACAATGATAAAAAATAATCAACAATTTTAATGACACGATTAGTTATTTTGCAGAGATATTCATGCATTGTTAGTAGAAATATAAATATGATACAACCATGAAGTTTCACTATATGTTGGACTAGAATATTTTTTTTAAGTATTTGAATAAAGTAGACGTTTTGCCAAATAAATTAAGATGAATTTTGCAATACAATTGAATCAGCAATGCTTCTTATGAGGATTTCAAAACGAAAAAGATCGCTATTGAATCATCTAACATAAACAAATAAAAGAACTAATGCATGTATAGTATATATTAGTCATTATTTAGTTATTTAGTGTTTTTGTTGGGGTTGTAATGTATTATTTAATTATTTTTATATTAGGACATGGTTAAGTTATTTTGGAAAAAACAATTTGTTCTACATTTTGTTTCATTATTGCAATGATATATTTAATCAATTAATTTATTTATTTTACAAAACTTAATCGGCAAAAAATAATTACATTATGAGCTCATTTATTCTACGTTTTATTTCATTCTTGCAATGATATTTTTAATAAATTAATTAATTTATTTTACTAAACTTAATTGACAAAACATTCACCACCACATGCATCGCACGTGCACTTTACTAGTCAAACTAAAAGGCAATACTCAATCAATGAAACCTTTAACATATTTATCAAACGAAAACTAAGACTAGTAAAGCTTCATATATAGCCACCATAATATATATGTTGTAAGTTGAATTCTCCTCTCTAAAATCTCCCTCCCATCCAAAGAGCAAACCTTCAGCCACCAGCTTCTAAAATCTTTAGTTTCCAACCTAGGTCATCCCAACTTATAGGTGCCAGTTTCCACACCTGTTGAGCTCTCTTGCAGTAGAATAAAAATTGTTGCAATTGGAAAATTATTGCTTTTAAGGACTCTACTGACTAATAGATTATGTTTGGTGATAATTCTCCGTAGAAGTTTCATAATGAGAACTTCATTAAAAGTTCTTATGTCATGGAACTACAATCCTCCTTTATCATAACTAATTTTACTTTTCCCAGAACAAATCCTTTCCTCATTTTTTCCGGTTTATGCTACCAAAAGTTAGCAAAAATTTGAGTCATATCATAACATGAAGCAAGACATGACAAATAGAAGTGGGGGATATTGACATGATTTTTNAAAAAAAAAAAAAAAAAAACATTGACACTCAAGTTACGAAAAATCTGAACTTTCACAAAGTGAGGGATCGATATTGACATGATAACCAAAGTGGCGTTAATAAATATATGCAAATCTTAGCTTAGATTTAGCCGAGTGTTCAAAAGTATATGTAGCCCCCGAAATAGTAACCAATGATTAATTTCTACTCCACCACTCGATTTATACAACTATCTCCCTACTATTTCAATAAATCTCCCCGACCCAAATGAAACTACCAGAAAGATTCTCAGATATACGTCGTCGTCTTGCCTTTGCCCCCACGTGAACCCCTTCCCTTCGTCCCCAGTCCCCACACAGATCTCCGAATCGCCTCGTGGACCCAATCCCCTCGCACACGTGCCGCACTCAGACTCTCGCACGTGCCCCTCTGTTATAAAATAAAATGAAAATCCAAAATAAAAATAAAAATCACTCATCCATACAAAATCACTCGCTGACACACACCCCATTATCCCCGACCAAAAAAGCACACTCATAAATACACACGCACAGTAGAGAAATCTTTGCATGCTGTGTGCAAAATCTTTAAAGCGAAATCCACAGATAACGTTAAAGTTAACGTTAACGCCAAAAGATTTTCCCTTTCGGCTTTCCCTTTCCCCTTCCCCTTTTTTTTCTTTTCCTTTTTTTTTTTAAATGTTTTAATTTTGGCTGTCTGAGTCATTTTACACCTATAAATAGCAGACGGCAAATTCCCCATTTGTCCCGAAACTCAAACAGCAAAAATTAGCCAGCCGTCATCATGGCCACCAAAATACTTCTCCTGACGTTCGCCATCTGCCGCCTGATCGCCGCCGTCGGGCTGACCCTCGGCTCCGCCGAGCTCCTCCACCTCGAGGTGGACGGCCGGCTCAGCCTGGACCCGGCCGACGCGGCCGCCGCCTCCCGCGACTTCGGCGGCGCGCGGGCGGCCCCGCCGATGGCGGTTCTCCGCCCTGCCTCCGCCGGCGACGTGGCCCGGCTCGTGAAGGAGGCTTACGGGTCGGCCCGCGTGATAGCCGTCTCGGCCCGGGGCCACGGCCACTCGATCAGCGGCCAGGCTGCGGCCGGAGGCGGCGTGGTGGTCCAGATGAGCGGTTCTCGTGAGGGCCGGCCGGTCGGGTCGGGAGAACCGGCGCCGCCTGTTGTTTCAGAGGAGTCGATGTACGTGGACGCGTGGGGAGGGGAGCTGTGGGTGGATGTGCTGAGGTCCACGCTGGAGTATGGACTCGCGCCCAAGTCGTGGACTGACTACTTGTACCTTTCGGTCGGGGGTACAATCTCCAATGCGGGTATAAGTGGGCAGGCTTTTAATCACGGCCCTCAGATCAGTAATGTTTTTGAGCTCGACGTAGTTACAGGTTTATTTATTTATTTTTTCCTCCCTTATTATTTATTAATTATGGAATCATCTTTGGGTTGGGTGCATGTGATTAGGAATTAATATTTCCTTAAAAAATGAGAAAATTAAAAAGATAATATTTTATAAAATAAAAAAGATAATATTTTATTATTTATGTTTGTGGTTAGTTATATATTCGTGGAGGGGCTATGAGATGAGATAATTGAGATGCTAAGACGCGTATTATTGCTACACATTTGTCTGCGCCGTGTCTCAAATCATATTCACATGTATTATTTTTAATTACTTTATTGGAATAATTTTTAATATTAAGATTTCTTAATAACAAATTAATTGGGAATTGTATAACTATGGTATATATATATATATATATATATATATGTAAAAATGCAATAAGGATACCATTAGACAGGCATAAAGATATATTTTTAAACTTTAATGTTGTCACTAAAAAATAATATAAAGAAATATGACATTTTACAATATAATTAAAAAAACGTATTTTGTTAAAAAATATGATAAGTCAACCGTTAATGATTATACTCCATCACACAAAAAATTATGATAAATAATTAAATATGACATACCAGCAGCATATGATATAGGTTATACTTATTGTTTAATTAGAAGGCGAAAACTAAATGGAATAATTATTGTTTACCGTGTGTATCCATGCCGTTCAATTCCTTAAGAAAAATTTATTCGTCGTATGAGAAATTAACTAATGACAATTTAAACAGGAAAAGGTGAAATGTACACATGTTCGGAGGAACAAAACTCGGAATTATATCATGCTGTTCTTGGTGGATTGGGACAATTTGGGATCATTACCAGAGCCAGAATTGCACTTGAAAAAGCTCCCACTAAGGTAATCAATTAATTAATTAAGTGTTTAATTTGCTTTTACACACTAATTTAAAAATTATACACACTATTTCTTTCATATAAATATACCTAAAATGGTGAAAATAGATCATTCACATATAATATATTTGTCAATTATTAATCTATTTAGTGATATATTAATTGTGCAGGTGAAGTGGATCAGGGTGTTGTACTCTAGTTTCTCGGCCTTCACGCACGACCAAGAGTACCTCATCTCACTGCATGGAAAAGAAGAGAAATTTGACTACGTGGAAGGATTTGTGATCGTTGATGAAGGCCTTATTAATAACTGGCGCTCCTCATTCTTTTCCCCGCGAAATCCTGTCAAGATTTCCACTCTTAATGCTGATGGGGGCGTCCTATATTGTCTTGAAATTGCTAAAAATTATGTAGAATCTGATGCCGATACCATTGATGAGGTACGAACACAATTAAGTTCAAGTCAAACTTTTTCAACCATAAAATCACACGAGTTACATACACTTGTTAGGATATATGTTGATTCGAATATTAAAAATTGTGCCGACTGAAGTTCACACCAATTTGATTTTCAACTATTTAGGAGTAAGAATAGTGACCACAATTTAATTTACTTTTTAAAATAATTTAAAAAATTGCCCCGTAACTTTTTTCTAAATGAGTTAAATTAAAAGAATTTCGCCAATAAGAATATTAAAAATCATCATCATATTGAAATATGATTAATTAATAGCTAGAAGTAACGTAAGTTTTAAATTTAACCAATTTGAGAATGATTTCTGATCGAAAATTCACATTTTAGTCGGAAATTGAATGGGACACTGATCATGTGGCGTCAATTTCTGACCGAAATTCTGAATTCCAAACAAAATTGTCTTCGAGTTGGTCAATTTAAAAGCTCGGGGATTAATATTGATACACATCCCTCACTAGTTTTGTAATGTTTTCTCTTTTTTCTTTTTTTTTTAATATTTCATTTATGGCTTTTGCACAGTGAGAGAATCTTCTTCATTCTGTTAGGCTGATTGCCAAATTAAAGGCAGATCTTACAAAGATTATGTTTCTGTTTTATTAATAAGATGATCTCACAAAAGAGAGGAAGGTTTAATCTCATTTTTAAAGTATATATTATGACGCATTACTTTTTATGTAGATTGGACATTGGATGTGATCAAATCTCATCTTTTGGATTATTTATTTATTTTACTTGGATTAGTATGTAAGTGCTTTCTAAAGCACTAGCCATCAAAAGTCGTAATCAGCATTAAAGGACAAGTCGCAAAATTCTTGAAAATCTTTGAGTTGATACGTTTTTAAGAGTTTGACATCAACTTTATTGTACTTTAGCTCTTATATGACGCTATAGATCATGCACCTATAGCTTCACAACAATTATTATACTATTAATTAATACCCCTGATTTAGATATTATCAAATTATGCAAATAATGTATGTTTTCCTTTTATTAGAAGTGATTTATCGTAATAATGTTATTCCTTTTTCAGGAAGTGGAGGCCCTACTAAAGAAATTGAATTTTATACCCTCTTCGGTTTTTACAACTGAAATTTCGTATGTGGATTTTCTGGACCGGGTTCACAAGGCCGAGTTAACGCTACGAGCCAAGAACCTATGGGATGTTCCTCACCCATGGCTAAACCTATTTGTGCCCAAATCAAGAATTGCAGACTTCGATGAAGGGGTGTTCAAGGGCATTTTGGGCAACAACACTAGCGGCCCTATTCTCGTCTACCCCATGAATAAAAACAAGTGAGCCTACACAAATAATTTCAAATAGTTTTGGTAAATGTCTTTTGTCCAATACAAAATTTTAGTGTGAGCCGACTTAATCGTTATGCGAGCAGACTCGTTATACATTAGAAAACAAATATATATGCATTCTGTGAAATGTCATAACATTTCAATTTAAAAGTATGCACATCTGCTGAAAAAGTATAATTACCAAATCGTAAAACATACATAACAATAGTCTTATTATTATCCTTTTTTTCATAGTTATAATATTTAACTTCAGTAGAAAACGATACTTTTGTTCATACCTAAAACTTTTGTTTTAATTTATTTATATCAAAATTTTCTTTGACATGAGTTAGTTAACCCTAACATGAGCTCATCAACTTGAAATGCAGATGGGACGAGAGAACATCGGTTGTTACTCCTAATGAAGACGTGTTTTACTTAGTAGCGCTACTTAGATCTGCATTGGACAATGGTGAAGAGACGCAAACGTTAGAGTACTTGAGCAATCAAAATCGTCAAATATTGCGATTTTGTGAAGAGGCCGGAATAAAAGTTAAGCAATATCTACCTCATTACACTACACAAGAAGAGTGGAAAAATCATTTTGGGGAAAAATGGACCTTATTTTCGAAAAGGAAGGACGAATTTGACCCGAGGCATATTTTAGCCACGGGACAACGCATATTTACGCCCAATCTTAATCCTATGGGAGCTTCATAATGGTGGAAAGAATATGACAACGTGTGGTTCATTATTACATATATATGTATAGGTCTGGTAAATATAAGTGGAAGTTACACGAGGATATTTCAATGTTTGGTATTATTTTATTTTATTTTATTTTTGGTTTCACATTTCCTTTGTGTGAGTGATAGTAGTTGTTGTACTTGTAGTTTTTATATAATTGTTGTAGTTATTTTTACCGTAGTTAATCAAAAGATTTATTCCTCGGGCAGTATGGCAAGGAAAGTTAGTCGGATTATTACGTACATATCTTCAAACACAAAAAGAGAAATTAAGTTCTTAAACACCCTAATTCAAATTGGTTTTGGTTTTTCAATTAACAACTAAAAAATCTCAAACAAAGCAGAGGTAAACTTCAAATTCCAAACGAAATTCAAACAATAATGAGGAAGTTAGGGAGTCAGAGATAATCGTTTATGGTTCTAATGCAATTCATGAGCAATCAGCCGCTTGGTTAAGAGATCAAACAACCTACTCATCTAGAGGTTCGTTCTCAATAACTTTTTGTACCAAGAGAACAAACATGAACGATTAATTTTTGTACAACATAGATTCATTAAAATTGATTGTTCAGGCATTATTGAGAACGAAAAGTTAATCAAACAACTTTTCACTTTTCGTTCTACAAGTCAATTAATTTAATTAGAATGATGATCAAGCATTTACCTAGATTCAACACAACTCGAATAAATTGAATGACATACAAGCACATGAATCTCAATCGAACCAAAACAATTATCTCTTATCCTTAACGAAACAATTTAGCCACACATATTGATATCGATCACAACAAAAGATTCAACACAATAATTCACATCCATAATCAAATAAAAGGAACTTACGATTAATCCAAGTCGAGAAACGAATTCAAACTACAAGCCAAGTCATGTTCGTTTTGAGTATCACAATCTTCAAAATCGAATCCAAGCAAAAACCAAGAGAACCAATGTTTGGANAGAAACTAAAAAAAAAAAAAAACAAAGTCTGGGAATGAATAAAGAGCCCTAAGCTCGATCCTAATAAATAGCCAACTCAAAAATAACATCGAAAATCATATTTCAAAATTTGAAATTCATCAGAGTCGCGGCACGACGGGTTGACGTGGCAAGGCATGAGGAGTGTCGCAGGCTTGGTCGCGGCGCGAGTGACGTGTAGTGACGCGGCGCGAGGCCTGCCGCAGCGTGACGCCTAGTGAACTCGCCTTCTCTATTGGCCCGTGAGGGGTGTCGCGGGCTTGGTCGCGCCGCGAGCGATTTGCAATGCCAAGGCGCGATGCCTGCGGCGGCGCGACGTTTGGTAAACTCGCGCTCTCTGTCGGCCCGTGAGGTTTGGCCTGGGCTTGGTCGCAGCGCGAAGCCTGCTATGTCGCGGCGCCAAACCTGGAACAAGTTAGTGTTGCACTTGGGCATGTACGGTGTTGAAACGTACGTTGCTCGGGTTCTACCCGAGCAAGTGGCTGCATGAAGGATGGACGAGACTCTCGCAATTCGGAACCGCGGCATGAACTTTGTAAAATCGGGACGGTCACCTTCTCTTTCGACTAAATAGACTCCAAACGCCTGGTCAAAGTTCTGAACCTGCACACCTCCAAAGACAAGAAAACACACGAAAAAGGCAAAACAACAGAAAACACGAAAAAGTGAAATAACGGCAAATACGCGAGACAAACGACTGGAGGACAAAAAAATCTAAGAAAATACTT